ACCCTGCTGATGACCCAAACTAGGTAAGTCACTACATCTTCCTATAAACAGATTTCAAGTAAAAATGACTCCATCAAACAACTTCTAATTCTGCACGACAACCCTTTACCTTAAAGAACATAAGAATTTAGGATACAGCAAACTGGTGGCAGCCTGCACTGCGTTTATCCCTAAGGATAAAAATCAGAATACAGCATACAATTAGGTAGTCGGCAACCTCTTGGTACAAAACCAAAAAGACTCCATTAAAAGAATCAACTCCAAATATATACAGGTGACCCTCAAGAGAATATATACATATTTGGGAAAAACAGATGCAAGTGCATGCTTTATAAAAGAATCCACATTAAAAGTTTCTGTGCATGTGATGGGAAGACATTTATTAAAATTGAGAGACCATGTCTGCGCTAGCTGCAGCTGAACTAAATTAATACTTGGCTGCCCCCTCAAATCTACTGGAATACATGCACGCCTGGTTACTCCTTCAATTAGTTCAGTAAAACCAGCACACAAACAGCTGTAGTGATAAACTTCTGCTACTCTGCAATGTCATTATCACCTAAGAAAAAAAGTTTCCTTTTAAGATTAAAAGAGGTGTTGATACACCTTACCAAATTGCTAGAAGCCATCTAAGCCTTTATCCATGCTTCAGCAACAAACTTATTTCCTACAGCTGGTTAAAGCAAGCATTGAGACTACTGTCCCTCCAAACAGGTGTATGGATGAAAATAATCTTTTTTTCTTTTCCCCCTTCCCATTTCTACACTGCGGAAACTGGAAAAAATCACAACAACATACCAATAGCCAGTACTTAGGCATGAAAGAAGCTGCAAGAAAAAGGCAGCAGTCACTCTTACAGGTTTTAAACAGATACCATTTTTAAGCTGGAAAGAACATTTATATCCCTATTCAACTTGAAAAATGAAAGCCTCCATGTCATTTCTTGTGGCCCAGCAAGAACAGCAGTCAAAGTCGCAAGTGCTGTACTCTTCCTACCCTTGAACAATCTTCAAACTACTGCTTAAAATTAAAATATTTATGAATATTAAAAGTCTGGAGAACAAAAGAAAAATCTATAGTAAGCCCAACTCTAACCACTGAGTTTACAAATTACTTACCGAACACTAGGAGCATTTATAAATTACACTTCAGGCAGAAGGAGCTTTTCTGGAAAAGCATTTTATTTCAAGTCTCATATGAGCAATAGCTGATTATGAAATAGCACTTGTATTCTTCTCCACTCATCTTCCTTCCCATCAATAAATTATCTTAGAATAGGTACTATTTTGAGACCAATACACTGTTTTTTTCCAGATGCCATCACAACACAGGAAGCAAATTGTACCTCCAACTCATGTAGTCAGTACAGCTTACAGAAAAATTACCTTGCAGAATTTGGATCATGGTTACTGAAGGAAACCAGGAAATCCTGCTCTCACTTCCACCACTGAAATGCTCTGCACCAGATCAGGTGTACGAAAACTTACAAGCTGCAGCAAACACAGGTGATTCAGAAAACCATGCTACAAGGGCCTAATGCAAAATTAACCGTTGATGAGTGCAGGTTATGCTTGTCACAAAGACCATTTGTAACTCTCATACCAGTTATTTATAGGTCACTAGAAAATGTTTCAGCACACAGTAATGCTTTACAAGGAGTAGCACAAATGATGAGTGAAAAGTCAAGGCAAGAGCTTCTGGTACTGGACGAGCCTGTCGTAACCGACATGCAGCAAGGGAGAAGAGTTGAGGCTGCTGCGGGAATGTTAACTCTGAATTTCTTTGTTTCCTTACAATTAATGATTTCAAGACCTCATGCAATTCACTACGTCAGCCAACACGTCTGTACAACTCTAAGAGATCAGACAGAAACTTTACTCAACCCTGGAAACAAAGGTACTTTCCTAACCCATAATCCTAAGAGCACCCAGAAATTTCTTAAGGACATAAGGGAAAAAAGGATTCCTGCAAGGAATCCTTTACTGCCACTACCTACTTCTGTATTTCTTCTATGGCTATAAAGATGACTTCAGCCTTTAGGGGTGGAAAGACAGCATCTCTGATATGTACCTTTTTTAAACCTGTAGTTTAATAATGTTTCTCACGGTACCTTACAGGCGGGAAGGTGCAAAATACAACCAACACATACTGAAAAATGAAAATCTGGTCTGTAAGGATTGTGTTGAACAAGATTGAAAGTTCTCATATGTCCCAATAAATGCTTCCCCCAAACAAACATCCCAAAACTTAAAATAATCACCCAAACAAGTGGGTTTTTTTTTAAAAAAAAAGAAAATTATTACATTTTCCTCCCACATGGCAAGGCTTTCAGATAAGGTGAAAGCTTTCAGGGAGGAAATTAGATGATCTTACCCAGAGGCAAGCATCATGTACAGCACCTTGGGAAAAACAGGGAAAAATATTACACAAGTCAGCTGGCTCAGCAAGGATTAAGAAATACCTTGATAAACAGCTAATGATATGAAAGGCAAAGCTTCTGGCTCCAGCTCAGAGAAGTAATTTCTCCCATCTGGGCACACAAAACCCCAAGAAGGGCTGCAGTTTCACATGGCACAGGGAAATGTTCACGGCCTTACGGTCTTTCTTTCATAGCTACATTGGGTGGGTGCGCACCAAACAACTTTTAGGCCAACGGCTAAAAGCATACAAGGCTATAAACTGTGTTCTCACAGGGCACAGGTTACCTGTCCTTCCCATCAATGCACGAAGCTGATGCAAATAGAGAACAAATTTTTTTAAGTGGTTGGGCTACGGTGAAATCCCACTGCTACAGACGGGCCTTCATAGAGCATTTAATTTCTTTTTCTCACACACACATGTATCTGACTAAATAGTCAACCACAACAGAGCTTTATAAGGGGTTTCTTCCCCAACCCCTGACATCTGGAAGAAGCCACTAAACTTTCAAAAATACGGCAGCAAATTCTGCATTCAAAAACCACTGCAGAGTAAGAAAAAGCATTTGCCCATTCTCAGAAATGCAGTCAAGTCTCCTTTCATAGCACAAGGCTTGAGTCAAGAAAGGTTTGCTTTCACTGGTAAGACTTTATTCTGCTATTTTTCCTGATGACTGCTTGCTTTATGTGGGTGGGGTAGTGTTTTTATTGTTCTGGACTGCATTTTAATTGATGGCAGAGTGCCTGGAGTTTGGGATTGGCATCTCGTCCATTGTTTTTGTTGAGATAAATAAATCTATTTCCCCCCTCTTTTTAAAAAATTAAATACACGCCATATTCTCAACTGCTAAAAACAAAGCAGGCTGCTACAAAAAAAAAACCCACAAAACAAACAAACAGAAGCTGTCAGATGGCACAAACAATCTACCCAACTCCTGGTGCAAGGAATTCACCACCCAAAAGCCTCATCCCTGCTTACCACCCTCTGAAAAACCCTCACAGACCAAGAAGCAGAGATATAACAGTGGAGGCTTGCAGTAGTTCAGTGGCTACATGCTCGTGTAATTCTGAGGAGGAGATTAAAGATCAGATTTTGGCCTCAACCTCAAACATCAATAACTACAAGCATGGGAGCCTGCTAAATGGGTAATATATGCTCTCAAGAGAAAATAAGGCAGCATCTAAAGCACCTCCAGAGCACTTTGATGGAAATATGGTGTCACTGATGCTGCCAAAATAAGACTATTTTTTATAGTACAGAAACATTTGCAATCTATGTTTTCTGACCTAGTGATCAGAAAATTACCCTGCTACAATCTGACACAAAGAAAAAAAGGTCCTAGCTCTGGCTCAGCTATTGATTCAATGCCTACAATAGTAGTTGGTGCTGCAATCAGAATCCTGCTACTCCAGGGGAGAAAAAAAATAACAAAGAAAAAAAAAAAACAAACCCCCCCACCCGCATGCCCCCCCCCCCCAAGTAAGCTGGAATTATTTAAGCAGAAATAAAGTGTCAGCAACAACGTAAATTTTTCTCATTACCCGAAGAATTTAAAAAATACTTTTATATTACATTTGCATGAAAATTGTATGAGCTCTTCATGCCAGGCAGTGTTTCAGCATGTTCCCCAAGCGCACACAAACAAAAAACATATGACAAACTGTTGTCTCACAACTGATTAAAGTATTTCTTCCTGGCACAGAAAAGCACTTAGTTAACTACTGTGAATCTGGGCCAACAGAAGTATTCCACCCACTACCAAGCACAAAGTTCAAACCTGAACACAAATACGCTTCAAAAACGTGCAGCTTCTGAAATACAAGAAAGAGTATGTCTGAGAAATTTGTTTTCAACCCTGAGCTACTTGGTGAGTTGAAAGAACAGTTAAAGAGTTGGATGAGTCCAACTACACTGTGTCTCTCTTGAGCGCATTTGGAAAAAGTGGAATGTGTTAAAATACTTCTTTCCAAAACATCGTAATGGTAATAAAGCCACGTCAGCCTAACACACACAGACAAAATCAGGGAAAGAAAAGCCTATACATAATGTTTAGTATGTCTCAGTTTCTTTCTGTTGTGGTATTCACTTGTATGGCAAACCTCTTCAGTTCCAGATACCATAACCACCCAGAGGAAGTGAGTTCGAAATGTCCAAAACCATGGGTACACACAAGTCTAATACACCATGTAAGATGAAAATCCCCCGTGCCTTTAACAAGAGCTGATAACTACTACTGGCCAAATTCCAAATGTTACAACCCACTAAAACCCAGCAGTTTGTTCCACAGTTGGTTCAAAATCCAAGAAAAAAAATCCAATTTCTCATATTCTTTTTTTAAACACACAGTCAAACCCATGTCATTTGTACACACGGCTTGATGTCTTATCAAAAGAGCTTCCAGTGTTTTTGTATCTTGATACTCAAAAGACAGGGAAAACAGGCCAAGAGCTACTCGCTCCTTCCTTAGTCGCAAAAAAACCCAGGCGCTTGGATCACAGCAGTTCTGAACACCAGGCATTAATGGACAGTAATTATACTGAAAAGATATCTGGTATGCATCTTTTCTCTCAGACAAAGCCTACCTGTTTACTTTTTGTGGCCTTTCCAGCAGGATTCTTGCTTCCTTTAGTACCTTCCATGTTTCTTAAAACATTGATAAAATCTTTCTTTGAAACAGATGACAGCAGTTTAGCGCGCTGCCTGTCAGAGCTCCCAGCTTTCTTCACCTTCTCATCAATGTTCTTCTGGTGTGTCCTGACAGCATTAAATAATTGTACAACACCTCTGGAATCGGGAAAAAAAACAACAAAAACCCCAAAGTTTTTATCTCAAGTTCCCTTTACAGAAACAAACCCTCTACCAGAGCAACTAATCAGTGCAGATGCTAGATGGCTTCTAGCTCCCCAAAATGGTTACTTCAGATCTCAGTTCAGTTCAGTAACATTTACTTCAGTGTAAGAGATTTTGAATTTTCACTCTTCCTTCACATGTATTGCTAGGAACCATTAACAAATCCACAAATAACTATTCAGACCCCAAAGTAAGATGGTAACATGGCACTGAGATCAGTGCAAGAGCATGTTTCATCCCTAGAAGCATGTCACTTGTCCTACAATCAGCTATTAAATACCTCAGGCAAGATCTTAAGAGCAGCTCAAGTAGGGGCACAAGGCAGAGGAACAAGTAAGGAGACAGACAGAGACAGCACATCAAATTTTCAACTAGTTCTGCAACACCAAACTACCACAACGCAGAGCAGGCAACTGAACTTAACACATGTGGATCTGGTGAAACCTCTGCGGAGAAGGAAAGAACAGAGTAGTAGAAACAACTGTTCTGCATTTTTAAAGCATTAAATTAACAAAATGAGGGGATCCAACAAAGCACTTCTGTTAAGCAAACATTACATTCCCATCTAAATTTTTACTTTTTCATAAAGCTTCTGAAATCTTTCGTTGAACTTGATACTGTACAATGCAGACCTGTATATAAATCACTTGGCTCCTGCTAGTCACTTCTTAAGAGTTCAATCTGATTGGAAACAGATTACCTGAGCAGGCCCTTTCTTCCCCTTTTCCTCCTTTTTTCAATATACATATATTTAAGGAAAGCATTCAGAAAAACTCTTACCTCGTGGCAATTCTCTGAAGATTTCTTTCTGTGTCTCGGTCTTTGACAACATCTGGCTTCACTCGGCACATCATTTCCCACTCCCGCTTTTTATCAAGCTGCATTATAAATATTGTTATGTGAAACAACATGGAGCATTTGAGAATGCAGCATACTCTGATAGAGTACATAGCAAGAGGAAAATAAAAAGATAAATCAACAAAGCTCAGTTTGGTTTGAGGCTAAGGGGAGCTCCAACATGGGGCTGGACAACGGGTCTGAGGCAAGTCTCTTGCATTGGCACACCAAGGGCCACAGTCAAATCAGAGTCACTCGCCTTCTGTAACAAAAATTAGAAAAGAGTCACACCAGAGTGATGCCTCTGGCTCATGGCAAGCAAAAGGAGTCTAGAAAAACTCAAATTCTTTCACACTGACTGCTACAGACAAGGAAATTATTCAAAGACACCTTTCAACTCCAAGACTTCACAAGCTGATCACAAAGAAATTTATACATAATAAAATCCTGGGTCTGTCAAGACAGGCATGTTGCATTTTGAGCCTTGGGAATTTGAGTTCCCGTGCTGAAATAATCACGGTACAGCTTTGCGACTGACGGCAATGCATGGCAAAGACTACAACAGGCAGAACTCAAACATCAGGAAGAGCACCAAGTGCCCACCAGAGAACAACTCCTGTGCACAACACTGATTTTTGTCTTTTTTTTTTTTTTGAAGCTCTCTGTTTCAAAACCAAATGGACTTGCTTTACCATTACCAGGGGCTACAACACTACCAGCTTTTTTTCTTGCTACAACCAGAAAACACTATTTCCCCAGCCTCTGCTTCAGGAGTAAGGTAGTGAAATATTGTTTTTCTCCCCTTTTAACAATTTAACAGTGCTCTAGGCCTGGTGATGTTGCATTACGTTTCTTTTATGCAAGATGTCTTCCATGGAATTTCAGTGCCCTTATCTTTATAATTGCTTATCTTTAGAATATGAGTTTATGACCATGTTTTGGCCTTTTATCAAAAGAACTGCCCTATTCTAGCTTCCATCAGCAAGAAATCAATAGAAGGCAGAGTGTTCTCAAGTTTTTTCTAAGGGTAAACAACTCAGTTTGGGGACTTGCAGCCCACCTCTGCTTTGCAGTACTCCCACATATTGACCATATAAGAACAGGTACTTAGCACAACCATCGCTGAGCAGATGCCTTACTGAAGCTCTCTGTATTTAAAAGGCAGGCCGTGGCCTAGCCACAGCATGTCCCAGACTGTCAGGTGGATAACCTGGTTATCCTATTGAAACAGAACTGGTAAGATGAGACATTAGAACTATTAATGTATTTTAGCCTGAAGGTAAATCAATCACGGCCTGGAATTAAAAGTTCCACTAAAGACACACAAACAAATGACTTAATTGCCAACATAGTTTTGTTTTCTTCGTAACAGTTTCGGAAACAGAAGAAATTTAGGGCACAAACACTGTAACAGAAAACTCCTACTAGGAAAATAATCGAGGGAAGCAAACAACGATTCACAAGCACATCAATGATTACTGCAATCTCAGTAATCTAGAGGCGTTTCATCTTGGAAGTTGCAGCAGAACTTAAATGAAAGCAGTTTTCTTCTCTATCCCCCCTCTCACTTTTGATGAGAGAGGACTATTGCAACTTGTAACGCCAACAAAGTGAATTGTACCTCAAATTAACAACAGCAATTAGAAAACTAAGTTTAAAGCAGCTGCTTTCACCCCCTCAACAACAAAAAAACCTTAAGCTGATAGGCTGGAACAGTCCTCCTGCCAAAGAGCAGCCTACCCGATGGCCCAGAAAACACAGAGAGGGAAAAAGCCCTACAGCATGACTGTCTGGAAGGTAAAAAAATTTGAAGCTGCTTTACATCACTGTGGAGAGATTCCACAACTGAGATAGTCTCAGAACACTCTCCTAAATCCCCACTGAGGGGATCTTGCATGTATGCTCATCTGACTATGACTGCACAGCAAAATGCTGCATCTTTTTCTCACCTTCATTCTCTTCTCCAGCCTTTCTTGTTTTTCCTTTTCTCTCTCCTTCTCCAGTTTTTTATTCTTGGCCAAGATGGTGGACTTATTTTGCGGAATCTTTTTGTTGAGCACTTTTGCCATGGCATCTGCCCAGCCTCCACTTGGGCCAGCTTTGGAGCTTGATGCCTCTTCAACCACATTGCCAAGGGCCGCCGTTTCATCTTCATCATCACCGTCTAGGGCTTCACCTCCCGAAGAGTAGCTGTCCTCTGGAAGTCCTGAGCTTAACTCAGTATCTAGGGGTTAAAAAAAAAAAAAGTATCAGGAGTTCTGTTTCCAGTAATGATCAATCACTAGCTTAATTTGCTCCATATGTAAATGTTATCAGAGTTCAGGGCCACATACTGCTTGCTGTTACAATTAATTCCTCAAGCAGGCATACACCACCATAATGAATTTATTAGAAAGTATCCAATGCAAGTGCTTGCTCATCTCAGTGACGATTTAAAGGGATTTAAGAGGCTGGGTAAAAGGGAAAAAGTAGCCTTGGAAGTTTATTATTAGATTAATGAATATTTTAATGCTTAGGAGTGGCACGTTTTGGGGAAAAAATCTTATATTTTCCAGTTCAAAAATTTTAATTTATAAATGCTTATACACACGTATGTATACATATATGTATGTACGCACCTACTTATAAACAAACTGCAACAGTGACATCTAGTGTTTAAATGCAAACAGCTACATGGATTAAATTGAAGATGGGGGGCATTTCTTACATGAAAGCAAAATCAGCTCAAGCAAAATGCCAGCAAAAATACAGTTACCTAAGCATAATGAACATAGAGGGGAGACCGCTTTGTGAAATAAAGAATCAAGACAGTTGTCAGGTAGCTTGAAAGAAACCAGAGGCACTGAGATTTTTTGGTATAAGTAACTGCTCAATTTCTTGATACACAAATAAAACACCCCCAAATTCGAGTTTCCTTACCCTATGGCCCCTTCAAAACAAGTAAGAAGGAATTAAAGTTAAAATACTGAAGTTTGGAATCAAGCAACAGCAAGACAGGCGAGAACAGCCAACTAGACGGCCAATCAAACACACGAAGAAT